GAAGCTCCCACTCAATTAAGCATATCCAATATCTTGATTAAGTTACATGCATTCATTCACCATGGACCATCCATAAGAATAAATCATGTCTATTTGAGTTACAGTTGATCAGATTATGCAACGATTGCGTAATCGGACCTAGAAAACGAAAAATTTTGGAATCTGGACCTCAGACCGTCCGTTCTGGATGCAGAACAGACGTTCCAGGCTTGGCAGAACGAGCGGTCTCGAATTCAGAAGTCAAAACGGACGTTCCATACTGAGACCAACCGGAACAGACGGTCCGTAGCAGACAGACGGTCTAGTGCGGACAATCCGTTCTGATATGTGCAGTCCGCCACCCCCAGACTGTCCGGTCTGGCTTACCCAAAACGGACGGTCTAGGGTTCGTCTACGTGATCAGATCACGTTCTCCGGTGTTCTCGGCCCCGATTAGACCCGAAACTGATCCGAATTCTTCTGTGAACCCAAAATTCGAACTCCTGCACTCTATGAAACATGAAACATGCAATCTACACTAGATTCAATCATCAATCATGCATAGAAATCTAAGCAAACATGGATTCAAACAATTCAAATCCTAAAACGTGCGTGATCGGGTTCTACGAAATCAAAACAGAGCAACCAGGTTCTGATACCACTGATGGGATTCCTGGGATCTCTAGGGCGAATCCTATTCGTAAGAGATCGATTCTAGGGTTTGCGCAGCAGATATAAAACAAAAATTTGAATGAAAACCCTAGAACCATGCTTCTATGAATCGTAGAAAAGTAAGAACGCTTACCTCAATCGATCCGGGGCCTGTATCAATTGAAGAATTCGTTCGATCACGAAAGGGAGGAAGAATACCTCGCCCTCTACACGTATCCACACCTCGGGATGGATTCCAACTGTTGGAACTTGTCTGCTAGGACCCGAATCAGCTATTCGATTTCGCGCTTCGAGAAAACGAGACTAGGAACTCTTAGAACTCTTTGGATTTTACCAAAAACTCTTAGAATTCTGTACCAGACGGCTCTAAAAGTCTCTTGATTAATTAGGGTTTTAATCTCCTTCTTATAAGGTGATTTAACCCTAATTCGGTCTAATTTTCGAAAAACCCGAAACCCGGGACGGACGGTCCAGAAAAGCACATGGACCATCCGTTCTAGCCGTTCGTTCCACCACGTAGAACGGATGGTCTGCGTCTTAACGTGGACCGTCTGTTCCAGTCTCCAGAACGGACGGACCATGCATCTGGACCGTCGGGTCTGGATCTGGCGGACCGTCCATTCTGGACTTTCTGGTCCGTCCGTTCTAGACCCTTCTGTCTCGGTTTTTCCGTCGTTTTCTCGTGCGTTTTGTCCTTCCCTGCGTGTGTGACCCTGTACGCTCATTCGATATAGCAGTATAACTCGAAATCTCTATTTCGGATATACAAGTCATAGGCGGTCTCTAGCAAGATACTATGACTACCTATCTCGAATAGAGTTTGTTTGTGATCTTACGAACACCACTGATGATTCCGGCTGATGATCCTTTTGTATCGCGATATCATATGTCGAACATAAGGCATGGACAAGCCACCTTATCTAATTCGATTGCTTTCTCGTTCACTGAGTTCGACTGTCTGAAATAGACGACGTTCGTCTATAGTGCGATCACACATTTCTACAGTCTCACTTACACGAGGGGCCCAGCGATATCTCTCTCTTTTACGAGAGGTACAAATCCCGTCTTGACTATCTACAATCCAGCACATGATTCGTTTCGTACCCGATACACGCCTTTATAATCCTCCTGTTACGCAGGACGTTTGACTATTCAAAACATGCAACTCCTCATGTTGGATTCCGTAGATATCTCAGGTCTAAGGATCCAATCATGGAACCGCCATATGAGATTCAAGTCATGACGCTAGTCCGTGTGACAATCTCATGCGGGTCAATCCAGTATTCCGTTTCCAACGAATACCTATGACTGTGATCGTATCCAATACCTATGATCATCAATCACATATCATACTAGTCTTAGTATATCATTATTCCCACAATGATACATGACTAGCGAGTTTAGTATTGTTCATAACAATACATGGATTTCACAACATATCTAGTGTGCACAACATATAATGAATCAAACACTTTCATAAAACTATAAAAAGTATCAATACATCAAATGTATCCAAAGAAAACTCGCAAACAGTACATCATAGAGCATTAAACCAACATATCATAGAGATGATTATAGCGTATTTGATACGGATCATGATCATGGGTGTTTTCGTGAATGAATACTGGATGACCCATGCCATATGAGATTGTCACATGGACTTGATGTCATGACTTGAATCTCATGTAATACTCCGCTTTGAGTCCTAACACCTGAGGTCTCTATATGTATCCGATATGAGGAGTGATTTTCTTTGACAGAGTCAAACATCGGAACTGTAAAAGGATGACTATAACGACTGTAGTTGGGATTGCCATGAATCATGTGGAGGGTAGTAGAGACACAAGATGGAATTTTGTCCCTCTCTTATGTGAAGAGAGATATATCGCTGGGCCCCTCGAGTGAGCTGAGCTGAAACGCACGCAAACAAATGAAGAGTCGTCTGTAGGTTCAGTTAACTCAACGAACGAGAAAGCAGTCAAAATATGACGAGATGACTTGTTCCATGTCTCTGTTTTGACTTTTGATATCGTGTGACAAAAAGGACACAAGTGTTGAATGTTACTTGACTCGTTAGATCACACTAACCTAGTCTGACAAGGGAGTCATAGTGTTTTGCTATAGACCACCTATGATTATTAGTCCGAAATAGTTTCAGAACCATGTCTGCGTTGGACGGGCCTACAGGATCACACACATAGGACTGTTAATATTTTCTGGAGCGTTCTTGGGATGGTTTATTGTGATAGACTGAAACTCGATCATGAGTAGAGCAAGTGGGAGATTGATGGATATGATGCTTTCGTTTTGCGAAACTGATTAGAAATCTATTGGATGGGTTTAAGTGGTTTAATGGATCCATATGTTTAATGATAAGGCTAATGAGCTTAATTATAAGATGATAGGCCCAATACATATTGAAAGAGACTAATGGATTATGTTATGACGTAATAGACCCAATTGGCCCATTTGGGTTTAATGAAACCCTAGCCCATTATAAGTTAAGTGAGAGACATAATTTTAGTTATGTGAAGAAAATATTTTTTCTTATTCTCTCTAAGTGGCCGTCGTCCTCTCTCTCTCCCGGGTTCACTTCGGTTTTCGTTCCCGTCCTCTAGATCGCGTTCTAGCAGACGCAAACCCGTGAATGTTGACTAGCTGTAGAGAGTGCTTGAATTAACCGTTTGGGACAGGTCTCTGAATCTAAACAGATTGGTATATCGATACCGTTATCATTATATGTAAGATATGTTGATTGGTTTCGTTTTATATATTTTGAACCCCAAAGGTGGAACCCTAGAAACCGTTATAAACGCACGTTTAGGGATTTACAAAACCTCAACATAAAGGACGAGATAAAGAAAAAGATGCAATTTTTCTCGAGGTTGTTTTCAAATTTTGAAGATTAGTTAGGTGAAAGCCTAATAAATTTCCTAATTAACAAAAAAAATCCATCCGACAACTAGTCGACCCAAATTTTCTATTAATTTTATAAAGTTAACCCTCAATTTATCAAGTCTCCGCAATTTTAATTCTATAAATTATCTTAGTTCTTTAAAATCCATTAAAAAACAGCCACATAGCCCAACCACAGACCCAACCCAGCCCCACTTGTATCATTGCCTTTCGAGTCGATGCCAAGATCCTACAGAATCTGATGGCAATTCCGTAATATAACTAACCAGACAAGGTTATTTTTGTCAGAACTATAACACTCTTCATCTCACCTGGGCCGTTCGCTCAACGAGAGGACAAATCTTATGTCCTTTTGAGTTGTTTCGGTTCATTGGTTAACCCACCAAAATATCAAATCGGAAAATACAAAAACAAAAATACAAAGAAATCGGAGAAAACGAAAGCGAATCTCCCTATCTCTCTCTCTCACACACATCGCTGTCGAAGATGGCGACTCTCTCCGGCCTCTTCTCGACTTCGCCGTCTCTGAATCCCGGCAAAACCGCCGTCTGTAAAGGATCTCCTACTGCTGTTGCGGTGATGAGGGATTCCTGCGCTTTTCCATCTTCCGCGACACCTTTGGATCGGTCGTTGACGTTGTTTACGGCTCGTTCGGTGGCGCGTGACGTTTCGGCGGCGGATTTGTCGAAGACGAACGACGGAGTTCCGGAGACAGCGCCGGCGGTGAAGAAGAAAGAGCTCGTGAAGGATCCCAATGCATTGTGGAGTCGGTACCTGGACTGGTTGTATCAGCACAAGGAGCTCGGGCTGTACCTGGATGTGAGTAGGGTCGGATTCACAGATGAGTTCGTGGCGGAGATGGAGCTGAAGTTCCAGGCCGCGTTCAAGGCCATGGCGGAGCTCGAGAAGGGTGCGATTGCGAATCCCGATGAAGGTAGGATGGTCGGTCACTACTGGCTCAGGAACTCGAAGCTCGCGCCGAAGCCGATATTGAAGACCCAGATCGATGTCACGCTTGATGCTATTTGCAGCTTCGCCGATGATATTATCAGTGGCAAGGTCAGTGTTCGAACCTTCTTGATTTGAAAGTTGATCAGTTGGAATTGAACAATTGTTCTGAATTTGGATTAGCCATTTCTGATTTTCAAAATGGTGCTATTTAGATTTCTGTTGATATTGAATTATGTAGCCATTGATCAGTTGCTCTGAATTTGGAATCTGTGTTTCTTGCAGCTTCGCTTCTGTCTTATCACTTTTCTAGTTTTGTTCGTGTCGTGCAGATTAAGCCGCCATCTTCATCCGCCCATCGGTTTACACAGATACTTTCTGTCGGAATTGGAGGTTCGGCTCTTGGACCTCAGTTTGTCGCAGAGGCACTGGCTCCTGATAATCCTCCACTGAAGGTATCTGTCACTGTCTTCTTTGTATACCTTGTCTGTGATTATGTTTGATCATAATTCGTTTCTTTTGGTAAATATTCATGGTTTACGAAGAATGGAAGATTCAAAGAGTTGGATGCTAATCGGTCTAAGATTCATTATGTATAAAAAAATCAAAGAGATTTTATGTACAATCAGACTCCTTGCTAGTCTTGAGATTCTATCAAGAATCTTGATCAGCCTTTTGGAATATTATTGTCTAATGTGTACCCTTTTCATGTCATGTCTTGTGGTGACTGTCTCTTCTTTAGCCGCATGAAAATGATCTATGGCTTAAATTTTCTGAGAGAAAGTTCGTTGTCTACTTCTGTGTGCCCTGTATTGGGTACTTTTCGTTCTATCTTTTGTGTGTGAATTTTTCATTTTTTGTGGTGTGCTTTTGACTTATTTTTGTGATGTTGACAGATAAGATTCATTGACAACACAGACCCTGCTGGAATTGATCATCAGATCGCACAGCTCGGTCCGGAGCTTGCGTCTACTTTAGTGATTGTCATTTCAAAGGTATCTTCTATCATATTCTGTGCATTGTATCATAGTATTCGTAGTTTGGTCTTTCTGTCTGTGCCAATCATCACAGGGCTTGTAACTTGTTTCCATCTTTATTCCCAGAGTGGAGGTACTCCTGAAACTAGAAATGGACTGCTGGAAGTACAGAAAGCATTCCGTGATGCTGGCCTGACTTTTGCAAAACAGGTCGTGATCTCAGGTTCTTGTTTCCACTTTTGTTTTAATTGAGTTTCCCATCTTTGTCGAAATATGCAATGGGTTATGTGACAACCGAAAGGCTGAATTTATATAGAAAATCTGGGACTTGTAGAATTTGGTCTTCAGAAGCTATGGAGAATAATAACCGAGTTTTGATGTATCTTTTCTCGAATTTCTATTAGACATATATGCAAGTCTCATACAGATTCAACATCTTCTCAGCTGTGGACTTTTTGCAGCAAGTTTGTTGAATACCTATACTTATGCAGGGCGTTGCAATAACACAAGAAATCTCGCTGCTGGATAACACAGCTAGAATTGAAGGTTGGTTAGCCAGATTTCCAATGTTCGACTGGGTGGGTGGTAGAACATCGGAAGTTTCTGCAGTTGGTCTGCTTCCAGCCGCTCTTCAGGTATTTGGTTCAAAAGCTTAGATTGTATTTAAACCCATCATTCACTTTTATGCTTTTTAACTCTCTCTCTCTCTCTCTCGTGACGTAGGGTATTAACATTAGAGAAATGCTTGCTGGTGCTGCATTAATGGATGAGGCAACTAGGGCAACTACTGTAAGTTTTATGTCTCGGTAGTGATCATTGTTCGTATTGTCTCATGCAATGATGCAATAGTCTGTTATTGTTAGTAAAAGCAGTGTATTGTAGGAAGATTAGTAGTATGGGGTATTTTGGAGACTAATATGATATGGGTTTCTTTGGGGTTTATAGCTAGTTTTGGGTTAAGGTTTCTGTAAGAGCGGGAGGAGCTCAACTGTTCCTCAATCTGGATACCAATTAATAAGGTTTAGGCCCTAACTCCACCACAAAAGCTAGCTTAAGAGTGGAGGTTTAACCCTTCCTTATATATTGGCCCCAAATCCCTCTCCTTTTCCGATGTGGGACACTTATCAGTTTCCCATTATTGAAGGCAAATATCTAGTTTTGTATTTCTGTTCGTAACGTTGTGGCTGCGGTTATAGTTGCTTATAATAGTATTTCGTTCTGGTTTTAGATTAGTTTGCTTGACATTTTTTTATGGAATATATATATATATTACACGATTCAGTGAGCTTGCTTTTAATCTGTTTACATATTACACTACAACTCAGTTTTTCCCACTTTTTTTATATTTCAGCTTAAGAACAATCCTGCAGCACTCTTAGCTATGTGCTGGTATTGGGCTTCTGATGGCATTGGTTCAAAGGTAACTTTTTCTTTAATTCAACTATCTCTGAAATCTGCAAGCGGTTTAAAATCTAATTTACATTTGTCAAAGTTTGATTCACATTTATTTCCTTTGTCCTCTTACCTCTTGCAGGATATGGTCATTCTCCCTTACAAGGACAGCTTATTGCTGTTTAGTCGGTATCTCCAGCAGCTAGTCATGGAATCACTAGGAAAGGAGTTTGACCTCGATGGTAACAGGGTAAGCATAATCCTTCTTTGGGTTGTACTATAGTATCTGAATTGAGTTTGTGGAGTTTGGAAAAACGTAAGTTGGTCTTTCGATTGATAAACTTGCCATCCTATTCAATTTTCCTAATCAAAGATAGAGGAGTTTGATTAGAAACTTGTGCAAGATTGCAATTGTTTTTCTGCCCCTCCACCATCGAACTATAATTTTCGGTTTTCCGTAGAAATGATCCCGTGTCCTGGTACCCCGAATATGTTATTATTTGATTATTATTTGATTCTGCAGGTTAATCAGGGGTTAACTGTGTATGGAAACAAAGGGAGCACAGATCAGCATGCGTGAGTTCCCCTTCGACCATTTCTCCCCCTTTGTGAATATGCCTAGTGGGATCTCAACACTTGGTACCTACGGTATTTTTGAATTCTTTTCGAATTTATGTAGGTACATTCAACAGCTGAGGGAGGGCGTTCACAATTTCTTCGCAACCTTCATTGAAGTGCTTCGTGACAGACCCCCTGGTCACGATTGGGATCTTGAGCCCGGTGTCACTTGTGGTGACTATCTGTTCGGGATGTTACAGGTCAGATTTGAGAATCCCTTTACTTGGAAGATGTCGGTAAACCCTCTTTGGTTATTTTCTAGAAAATTTCTTCGTTTTCTTCACCCCGTATATCGGTTTTTGTAGGGAACAAGATCAGCTCTATATGCAAATGATCGAGAGTCTATATCAGTTACTATTCAGGAGGTGAATCCAAGATCTGTGGGGGCACTTATAGCTCTTTACGAAAGAGCAGTCGGGTTTTATGCCTCTCTTGTCAACATCAATGCTTATCACCAACCTGGTATAGAGATATCCATTCTCTCATAATACTCTGAATTTCTTTCTGAAATTGTGGGTGTAAAAGCAAACACGGTGATTTCCAATTGCCTAAATCGTTTGTGTTTAGGATTGGGTGTCGGGAAATGTGTTCAGGCAAGCTGTACTCCGTGTTTATCTATACATTTTCTGAATCGTGATGATGATCTCAGGTGTTGAAGCTGGGAAGAAGGCAGCAGCAGAAGTCTTGGCCCTACAAAAACGTGTATTGGCTGTCCTCAACGAAGCCAGGTAATGGCCAAACCTTATCGAGTATGCCACCCCGACCATTTTTAATATATTAATCCTTTTTATCATATACAGTGGCACCGAAACTGTTAAATTCATGATTCACGAATCTGTCTAGCGGCTCGTTTATTCGTTTTCACGGGATAACGCATACGATTCTGTTTTCTGTAGCTGTAAAGACCCCGTGGAACCATTGACACTGGATGAGATAGCCGATCATTGTCACGCTCCGGAAGAAGTAAATCCAATACCTTCATTTCATCGATGCACTCCTCGAGTGCTTCGATTGGATTATTACCCTTTACGGACAGTTTAACCCTAGTTTTTTTTACCCGCAGATCGAAATGATATACAAGATTATCGCGCATATGGCAGCGAACGACAGAGTGTTGATCGCGGAAGGAAATTGCGGATCACCTCGGAGCATCAAAGTATACCTCGGGGAGTGCAACGTCGACGAACTGTATGCTTGATTCAATAGCCCTTCGGACTCTTTATCTCTGTTTGATCCTTAACGTCTTCACTTTATGTTATATCTACAAGTTCTTTTGATTTGCAAAAGGGAAACAAAAGATATTGGAAATAACATATGATGGAACAGAAAATTCCTACGTGTTTTTTGGGGGTTTTGAGTTTGTTCTGAGATTTTTAAGAAACTGTAAAATTGAAATTGAAATTCAGACAGTGGATATGATGTTGTCCTCTGAATGTCTCTCTGTTTTGTTTGGGAGACAATTTTCAAATATGAAAGGTGGGTTTGGGGCTTTGGTTGGTGTTACTTAACCTCACATTTCCTAGCATTCTTCTCTTTTAAGTTGGGGACCGAATCAATCCAAGTGGAACAATATATCTGCTTTCGAAATATAAAAAAAATCCAATTCGTATAAATTTTTTAAAATTGAAAAATCTAAATCCCAACAAAAAATCTATCGAAGTAACATAAAGTTATTTTTAGAAAGACAGGTATTTTATCCATATATAATAAGAGAGTAGTCATAAAAATCTTATATTTTTCCAAATCAATGATTAAAACCTGTATTTTTTTAATCAAATAAATCATGAATTAGTTTTATTTAATCTATGAATTATCATATTTTCAAATGATTAATCAATATGTCTCTATTTTATAAAATAGTTACAAATTGATAGGTTACTCCGTATCGACGTAGTATTAACGAATTTGTCAATTCATCACGCATACATAAAATTAATTTTATACGTCATTATCAATAAAATATTTAAAAATTAATAAAAATAAAAAACTAAGTAAACTGAAAAAGTAACAATAAAAAATAATTAAAAAATTAAAAAATATAAACCTCCATAAAAATTTTTGTCTTATCTCTTAAATCATAGTAAATTTTATACTCTCCAATGATAATTTTTTCTAGGTAAGTCCCTGAACATATATACATATTTATACACATCTATATATATATATACTAATATATATATAGATATATATTTACATACACATATATACAAACACATACAAATAAATATATATATATACATACATATACATACATATATATACAGATATATACATATATATAATTAAATTTTGAATAGCTCACTCAATCAAATTTTGAATAACATGGAATGTATATCTACATATAGTATTATGATAAATTATACGTCGGATATTTATAAATATATTTTTCACCGTTTTTTCTCTTCGTCGTCGTGATAAATTATGCATATGTATTCGGTGGAAATATTTTGTGGCTGATTAATAGAATACAATGTTCAACATGATGAAAAGCACGAGTAGCTATTTTTGTTTTCTTTTTCTGATTTCAAAAATAATAAAAATATATGTATAAACAAAAAAACAAAGCAGTCGATAATAAAAATATATGCGGCTGATACTGTCAGAGTTGTATAATTTCGGGGGAACATCTAAGAGTGTTACCCACGTCGAGATTGATTGCATGGGGGGTTTATCAAGAGTGTGATGGGGATTCCAGCTTGATACAAACATTGGACATTGTCCAATATACCAAAACTGTCTTGAGAGAATGAACTGCCTAGTATTCTCATTCGGAACCTTGAAGAGAAATGTTCCTTTTCCGATGTCCTGCACTCGAATATGATTTCCATTTCTGTTCCACAAAGCATTGACAACACCAATAATTCTTCCCAGCGAAGGCGGCAATCCGTAAAACTGTCCGATCAGAAAATCTTTCCATTTATCGACTGCTTGGTTGATGGATTCCTCCGGAATTGAAATCAGTGGAATGCCTGTAACTCTTTTGGTATATAATATAAATCACCTTAAAACCAAAAAAAAAAACAAAATCGTTAATGGTTGCAAAATTGTTAATTAAAAACTTGTTAACAATGGGAATTTTTTGAGGATGCTGGGTCAATTTCAGCGTTTGGTTTTTAGCTCCATTGACCCAAATGCAAAGTTAGGAACGGATCTGATTCCCATTCTCAGCGTTTGGGTCAATTTCAGCGTTCGGTTTTTACACAATATTTTCTTGATTCAGAAGTATACTCAATGCAGGATAAGACTGAAGAGTTCAACTGATGATGATGCAACCAGGATCTGGTGAAAGCCGTGTGTTATATGTACTTGTGCCTCAACTCTTCTTTCCCCTGCGCACTATGTGAGGAAAGGGAAGAAAGCCATCAACACCTTTTCTTCGAATGCGGATACAGCAATCAAGTCTGGCAACACTTTGCGCAGCTCTGTGGGCGAGATGCGCCTACGAACATCTATCAATGTGTTGGTTGGATCACGGACGTTGTTCCTGTCGGTGGAATGGCCTTGAAGTACATTGTGAAGACTCTCATCCAAATGACGGCATATGAGTTTTGGTGGGAAAGGAACAACCGCATATTCCGAGACAAAAGGAGAACGGTAGAACATACGCGATGGAAGATTGATCGTGACATTCGTAGTGTCTTTCTATCTATCAAGAGGAACCAACTTGAAGATGGAGAATCGGTACTTGCATCTTGGTATTATTTGACGCGAGACATTAGGTAAAGCTTTTGAATGTAGGGTTTTTTTTTTATGAGTCTCTACCACTTGCTCATGGGTTCCATAATCTTTTGCTAAAAACAAAAGCTGTGATGTAATTCTTTTGATATATAATACAAATCACCTTCATACCAAAAAAACTCTTCTTTCCCCTCTTCTTTATTGTCTGCGGTGTTTTCCAAACTAATGGGAGTCTCTACAGTTTTCCTGACAGTCTTGGGGAGACGATCTCGTTGTTGAAATCCTTGACTCGAAGGGGAAGCATTCCGGTCGTGTGCCTGTACAGCTAGCTAATGTTTCTGAAGATTCGGTGAGAGGTTTAGCTGTCAAAAACTTTAATTTGAGTTCATGGCTTAATATTGATGTCATCATCAAAAGCTTCTAACAAGGAAAGGGGTTCAGGCTGAGAAAGTTAGCCAGTAGTCTGTTTTCCGGGAGCCAGAACATCATCTTGCGGGCAAACCCCAAGTCTACATCAACTACTCAGCAAGTTTTGATGATAACAGCCACTTAAAGCCACTTAAAGGTGGGTAAAATTACCTAAAACTCGTACTATTTGGTTCCTTACCTTGGAAAATTTTGTCTCAGACGCAAATGGGACAAAAGCAGCATTTTTGTGGTCATTTGCGATATTTAGGAGGGCCACTTTCCTTGGACATCTTTTAAATGTATCTCCATGTTTCTCCTGTAATAAAACATGGACTAAAGTGTAGAAATTTGCGGAATGATATCTTTATTCATAATCAGAATAACTTATAAATAGATGAGAGTTTTAGATTGAATAAGTAAACTAAATAAAATAATAAATATTTCTAAATATATATTTTTCGGATTTGTTAAGATTGATATATCTTGTATTATTATTCAAGATCTGGTATATCTCAACATCCCCTTCAAGTTGGAGCGTGAAAGATCACGAAACGCCCACTTGCTGAAAAGATGATCAAACGCATGCCGCTTGAACCACATCACCTTGCGAACTTGTGTCGATAGAAGACATAACTAAAAAAAATCAAACAAACGACTGCGCTGCTACTTTGGCACCACGCACAAAAAAAATCGTTTGATGATAACAAAAAAAAGGACGACAATCGCGGTGCAGAAAGAAGTCTCGGGAATAACTCTGATTCATCCAAGATTGAAAGGCAACTACGCGAAAGCGTTTAATGACAACAAATTTTTTGGCAAGAATAAAATGATTGGCGGTTATGCGAATAATCTTTAGAAACATGTGGGATTATGAGAGAAAAAAAAAACAAACAAAATGACTCTCTTATTCTTAAAAAAACTCGAAATAATATTACCACTGGATCGGTATATCATCATCTTCATCTTCACTCTCATTATCAACCATCATTTTTATGAAGAAAAAAAATTAGAAAAGAACCAGGCTATGATACCATGTAGAAATTTGCGGAATGATATCTTTATTCATAATCAGAATAACATATAAATAGATGAGAGTCTTACATTGAATAAGTAAACTAAATAAAATAATATATATTTCTAAATATATATTTTCCGGATTCGATAAGATTGATATATCTCATAATATTATTCAAGATCCGGTATATCTCAACATAAAGTTTTTGTTTCCGGCAGTTATCTTGACCTCCCAAACCTGTCGTCCTTCCTTGTTGCCTGTCCACCATCTGGTCCTTCACCAACAGTTGCAGAGCTCGTAATAGCAGCTGCAAATTTTCAGCGGGATCTCGCCAGCTTGAACATAAGGTAGATTTATTTGTTAACTATCTCTTGCTTTTGACTGACATCTCTATTCGTTTCCCAGTCCTATCAAAGGCGGTGTTGATGCAAAAGAGTTATTCCACCTACATGTTATGCTCTGGATTCAACATGGCGTTTTCCTTGCTCGGACAATGTAAACTAGATAAGGTATGTATACAGAGTGTTGATTAGCTTTGGAATACACAACTGAAGATTGAAGCTAATGGAGAGTTTACTAAATCACCTTCAACTTATTTTGCAAGGCTTATTGTGTGAAGTGGGACGTGTTTCGTGTGGAATTGTAATAACATAAGGAGATTTCATGATTCATCCTTTACTGCTTCCGCAATCGTCGTTTGGTATGCTGTCGTGAAATTGATTCCCGTGGATCATTAAGGAATCCTTTGATGCATGCAGGTGAAATGGTCACAACATTCAGCAACCTCTTTCATCGATGAAATGTACACCCGGCTTACAGAAACAATAAGTGACTATCAAGTTATCAATTCCAGATGGTCGGAATACATCTTTGTGCTGGAAATTGTATGTTTGTGGAAATTCTTGAGTGTCGGATAAAATAAATTGCAAGTTAAAAGGTAGGACGATTGGGGATTCAAGTGTAACCGAGCACTGTCGTGACCCAGTTTTAGTTTCTTTAGGCCACTCCCGATGTTGAGAAGGAGATTGTGGAAGCTTTGGACAAGCAATACATAGATGTTCTATCGCCACACAAAGAGGAGAATATAACTCCGAAGAAGTTAAGCTTCAAGTATGTCCAAGAGCTTACCAAAAGATCGGTGTGTCCTATGTAGTCTCTGATGAGGTTAGCCATAAAAATCTGTTCCTTCTGTCCAATTTTTGCTTTCAACGACGATGTCTTATTGTGCCGAATTTTTTTCTCCCAGGGGGTTTGTAGCTTGGAATTCTATTAAATTCCATAAAGAGGATGCTCGATGTTCTACGACCTAACACAGAGGTCGAGTTT